CTCGGTGGATGATATAAGACTATTCCATTTGAGTCACCACAGTCTGCTGGGGGTAGTAAACTCGCTTGCGTTTGTAGCAGATGAAGATCCCCACTAACCTAACAAGTTGTAATCTTACTAGGTTTTGATCAACTTTTTTTAAAGTGACAATGCATTTGGAATTACACGTAAAACCTTTAAGTTTAAGAATTAAGTATAAGTCAAAGAATGGTTTTAATACATACACAATTAAAAAAAAGTACAGATAAAGATTAAAAATAAAGATCTAAAGTTTCTGGTACATGTCATGTACTTATATGTAAAATCCAGACATTCACCGTGCTAGCACGGCTTTAGTGTTTGAGAACTCCGGAGCCGACATGGCTTGGGATGATATGTTCCGAAACAGAACACAGTTTCTGCTTCTTGCGTGGGACCGCAAATCCAGGCCTCTACCTCGCAATCGACATGCAGGTTCGGCACATGTGTAAGTGGCATCGGGCTTATTGGGAGAGACTTCACTGGATCGAAATGGACCACAACAATCCCACCCGTTAGGCTCTGTATGGACTACTCCGCAGAAATCATGTTCGTCATTTCAGGCGGAGCTCGTTAACGCGACCCAGGAAAGCATAGCTGAGTGGGCATTTGGACGCGGAGAAGAATTTTGCTCGGGCAGTCATGGGAACTGCCTCGTAGCCAATCGTCATATCAAGAGTCATGAACCACATCGTAGCAGAGAAGTTGCTCATCGATGAGAGTGTGGCGGGGTGGTTGTCACCAAATCGCGTTGCGATCCACTCAGACACACAGTACTCTGGACTGTCGACTAACGGAGGGGGTACTCCGATAACCGTGGGGTTGCTGAGGGATCACCTTGTGTACCCGTAGGTGGGACTCTGGTGGACTTGATGGGAAGGTTGGCCTGGTCTGATTTTGTCTTGGCGGGACGCAAGATGGTTGGGTTTCGTAGCGTGGGATACTCTTCAGGCTACGCGCCAGGTAGGTTGTCGACCTTGATCGACTTGGGGTGTAGTTGTTCCTGTGCAGGGGGTTCCTTGTTCCTTTACTTGCGAGGCTTGACCGCTTCCTATAGCGGGCGAGTTGAGGGCAGTTGATACGTCGACAGTAGATCAGCTCCTTACGGTACATCGCGTATCGAAATGATTGCATTATTTCGATTTACTCAGACGATTGCGCAATCTTCGCAGCTGATGGTGTAATCACTTGACGCGCCGTCGTCAACGACGAGGCCCGAGCCTGGATCGCGTCAAATTCCATCAATTAGTCCCTCACACCCAGAAGTCAACTGTCGCGCCAACACAATCGTCCCCTGAGTGAGAGTCCACAGGACAAACTGTCGCACTTCACTCACCGG